AAATGAAGAATCCGCTGATTTACGTGAAATGTATAATTACAAATAATGATTTAACAAAAAAATTGTTAGTTTCTACTATACTTAAGAGAATCTAAGAAATGAAATCTGCAATAAAACGTTGACATCAAAGATATGTATTTAGGTATTAGGTATTTTTCTAGTGGAATCGATATTATTAGTAATTGAATAGTGTAATGTACTGTAAGTTGCATACATTTGGCGCAACACAATTATAGAAATCCGTAATTATGCAAATGAATGGAGTATTTATTGACTTCTTTAATAAATTATTAAGTTGTAATTATTAACATAAACTGAGATGAATGATTCAATTCTTAATAATTTAAAATAACTATTTTTTTATTATACGCCATTGCATTACTATACATTTTGAGGTTAGTTTAAACAAATTGAAGTAAACAAATAAAAGTAAATTGAATTAAAAAACAATTGAAATACTTAGAGATTCGGTTGAAATTATATTTTTCTTAATATATTATCAGTCTCCCTATAGAAGTTTTCACTTTAATCCTCATTTTCCCGAATACATTTATTTGTCAATTTCTATGATTTAATGCAAAGTGATTTATTGCAGATTTTTTCTGTTAAAATCTCTTTCCTATATACAAACACCAGACAAGACAAAGGCAGTGATACAATCGTTTTTATTGCTAAATAATAAAAACTTTAATACTAATAGTTCCTAAATTATTGCTAAATGAAAGAAATGAAAATTGTACAATACTTTATATTCTCAATTATTTTTGAATTGCAAGTGTCACAAATGTTTTAATTAAATTATCAACATGATGTACAACGATTGCAGAGTTGAAAGCAGTATTAACCCTAGAAACGCAAGGTGGGTTGCGTCGTCCGCCACTATCTTAAACCATAGAATAATAAACAATCAGAATGCCCACTCTCCATGGAAAATTAAGTAGGCGCATCTCCTTCGCGCACACATTCGCCATGTTTTAAAGGAAACCAGTGTTGTTTAATGAAAATTTATGTGGTGTGCATAGAAAAAATAACCCAGTTTAATTGACTTACGGCAATCATAGACATACTATACAATTATATTAACATTGTTAAATATAATAACATAAATATAATATAATTAAACATAAATATAAACAATTACATAACCTCACAAATCATATGTCTGTGTTTCCTTTTAAAACATGGCGAGCGTGCTGAAAAACTTCAAAGGCGGTATCTGAGAGTGGTCATTTTGAGCTTAAACTGTTTTCCATTGTATGGGTGTGGCCATGATACTATGACTAACAAGATAAGATCTTCCCGTAGCACAAAAACGGTCGTGTTCGCGCATGCCGTCATTGGAGAGTAGAATTTGAATTCTACTTAAAGTTAAATGGGATTTGTATGCATTCTGTGATGAAATTACTAGACGAAAATAAGTTAAGAGGTTTAATAATTACAATAATCGTACACATAAGGATATCTCCAAACTATTTATTGAAAGGTTATTTTATTGATACATACAAAAAACTGACATTTCGAACGTGCAACTCTCCTATGACGTCATGACTTATGCGCAATATATTATCTTTCGATCTAGATAGATATCTAACGAGATAACACCTTTGAGCTAGAGGAAGAGGTAAAGGATGGACCAAGAATATTACAGCAGGAAGTTTATTCCGCAATATCACAGTTACAGAATGGCAAAGCGGCAGGGCCTGATAATATATAAGCAGAACTACTCAAACTGAATGGAAATGGGCTGGACACAATGAACGTCTCCAAGACGGACGATGGAACAATGCCATCGGAAAGTGGCGTCCATACAATGCAAAGAGATCAAGAGACAGACCACAGTTGACGTGGAAAGATGACATCAGGAAACAAGGAGGTCCCACATGGCAGAGAACAGTCAAGATAGGGGAAGATGGGGAGAACTGGGATAGACCTATATCCAACAATGGAAGGATAGAGAATAGGTTAAAAAAAAAAACTCAAACTAATGGAGAACGAATCAATAGCAATAATCGCAAAGATATTTAACAACATATACAACTCTGGAGAAATACCAACAGAATGGCTGAAATATGAGTTTATTGCACTTTCACAAAAAAAAACAGGAGCCAAAAAATGCGAAGATCACCGTACTATAAGCCTCATGAGTCATCTCCTTAAATTGTTCCTAAGATAATTCATAAGAGAATCTACAAGCTGTGTGAAAAACAAATTTCCCCCAACCAGTTTGGGTCCACAAATGCTGTTGGTACTAGAGGCTTTGTTTTCAGTACAAGTCTTATTCCAGAGACGTCAACTGCGACGTATACATATGTCTAGTTGATTACGAGAAAGCGTTTGATCGAGTACAGCACGTCAAGATGATGCAAATACTAAAAGAAGCAGGAATTAACAACCAAGATCTGAAAATAATTAGAAGTCTTTACTGGAATCAGACAGAAAATCTCAGAGTTGAAGGTGAACACATTGACTATATGAAAATCATGCGTGGAGAGAGGCAAGGCTGTATTTTGTCTCCTTTAATTTTCAATCCTTAAATAATATTTATCGAAGCTTTGCACGAAACTGAAAAAGGTATTTTACTAAAGGTTACCGGCTAAACAACATCAGATATGCAGATGACACCATAATATTTTCGAACAACTTAGAAGACTTACAAGTTCTTATGAACAAAATCACATATTACAGTCAACAATATGGACTCAATATAAACGTTAAGAAGACAAGCTTATGATAATTAGCAAGAAAAGGATAACAGAAGGTCAACTTTACGTCAACCAATTCCCTGTAGAAAGAGAGTGACGCACTACAATTACCTCGGCACTATAATAAATGAAGAATGGACCAACAACCAGGAGATTAGAGCACGTGTCTGAAAAGTTAGATCCACCTTCAATCGGATGGAGGCCTTTTTCGAGAGTCACAACCTTTCTCTTGATACAAAAGTAAGAATGCTGCGATGCTACGTCTTCTCTGTCCTTTCTTATGGTGTTGAATCGTGGACCTTAAACGAAGATATGTGCAGAAAACTGGAAGCATTCGATATGTGGCTATATCGGAGAATACTTAAGATTCCGTGGACTGACCGAGTCATAAATGAGGAGATCCTCAGAAGAACCGAGATGTACTGACGACCATCAAATCTCGAAGTTACAATTCTTCGGACATATTATGCGAAATGACTTCCTTCAAGACATTCAGCAAGGAAAAATATTTGGAAAGCGAGGTCCAGGAAGAAGTAGAGGTCAATACAACATCTTTGCAGTTTTTCCACGCTGCTGCAGTTAAGATAAAGATTACCATGATGATCGCCAACATTTGTAACGGATAAGCACATCAAAAAGAAGAAGATAAGTAATTTATTTCTAAAACAACGTTTTGACCGCCTTACTTCCACACAACTACCTTTTTAAACGACGGGGATTTAACTGTTTGTAATAGTTTTATTAAAATATAGCATAAATGTTGATACATGCTTGTTTTGTATAACCTAAGGTTATTTTTGTTGATATTAATGTTATGCATCCTATAGTCTATTAAATTACGCTCATAATTTTTTTTCTTCAAAATAATCTATTATAAAGTGTTTTTTTTTCAATTTGTCGACAAAATGTGATTTTGGATTTACAAGTTGTTCCAGCATAGCATTCAATTGTTATAATAATTTTGGTATTAATAAATCTTGAGTTCAGTATCAAATATTGAATAATAGCAATTAAACACTTTTCACCATAACAACTAAAGTTATAGAGAGATTTAAATATATACAGTGAGGTTAGTGATCTTTACATGACGCCACCTTGAGGTTCTGGGCTAAAATTATAAATTTAGTGTATAGATGTTAACATAAACCATTTAATTGATCGAAAATAGTTGATATAATCCTAGTAGAATGTTAAAAAAAAGTCCACTGAGAACACAAACAACTAAAAAGGAAAAAATAAAACAAAATAAATCTTACGGAGTTCTTTATTCAGCCTATTTAATAAAACAAGCTGTAAAAAAACTGAAAGGTAGAAATATTATCAGTCTTTAGTAAAATTGGTCTTTAAAAAGTATCGCTTTAGAGACCAATTTGATGCGTGAATTCCAAATTACCGATTCGGTGTAGTTATTATGAATTTAGAAAAAACAAAAAAAACCCTGAGCTTAAAATCATATAAAAATCTATTTACAATAAAAATTCTTATAATGTCATATTTTATGAACTGCGTGGCGCAAAATTCTAGACGTAGTTAAATAAACTTTAAAGAAAACAGCGTTTTGTCTGAATAGGGATCTTCATCAGTCGTCATGTTTTTCGTACAGACAGATTTGACAATGACGTATATTATACGTCATACGTATTGGTTAATAAAAAAATTTTCATTACATAAATATTTTTTAATAAAGAAATAAAGGCTTTAGAAAATTTATAAAATAATCTGTATTGTCTTTAAATGATTTTTTTTTAAATTGAGGCGGTGGCTAGAATAAGGGTCTATAATCCTATGGGCCATTCTTTTAGAGAACACACAAACTGAACTGTTTATGTTGTTCTCTATCAGTCTACCAATGTTTTCTACGATATTACGGTTTTTAAATTGGTATATACACTCTTTTTAGTGAAGTGTTGGCACAATCAGAATGCCCACTCTGCTTGAAAGTACGCGCATCTCGTTCGCGCAGACGGAATAGTAGTATACTTGAGCTATTAATACTGAGAAGTAGGAATTGTTTTGTGGTAGGTTTCTGACAATGAATCTGTCAAAATATGCCGAGCTAAGCGAATGCAGTATACTAACCTAACCTAACATGTTTGTTTACAAAACGTCTGTTCGAAAAAAATGGCTGACATTATTTTTTGATGAAAAGCCCTATACAATCACTTCTCTTTAAATTTGACTTGATAGAACTCTACGGTATGATCATGTGGTATAAAATAAAGCTTCCATTTGATAACTAGAAGTTCGTGAGTTTAATTCCCCACGCAAGTACATTTTTTATTTATTAATTTTTTGTTTACTAATATTCTTTTAACAGAAAAAGAAACATACACAATTCCTGTGGCGGAAATTTGGTTTGTAGCTACCATCGAAACCTTAATGAGTTTTACTTAAGACCAGAATATTGCGCTACGCTGTATATAAATTAAAAATATAAAGAATAAAAAAGTGTGTATAAACCAACACTGGTAATAAATACATAATATAAACATTATACTATATAAATGATCATAAATAAATAAAACCGAGACCTTTGTGACTACAAAATTGTTTTTTATCTATATTTTATACAAATTTTGCTACAAAAATGTTTGGAGCCTCAAAAAACAAAAATCCTTAAAATAAAAAAAAACTATAAAAGGCAATAAAATTTAAAACAGAAAAACAAATTTATAATCTTTTCCAATTTATATATTATAATAAAAGTGTAATGCAACATAATTTAAAAAAATTTAGAGAAAATAAAAAACCTTTTTTTTGTAAATATTTCCAAACTTTTTCCCATTTTTTCATAAATTGTTAAAAAAAAAAACATAAAAATAATATTTTAAATCAACAAATACATTATACGTTATTATAAAAATTCAAATCAAAATGAGAAACTAATGGATGTGGAAGATCTACGATTCTATTTTTGGATTTTGGAAAAAATAGCTCAATTTTGAGCTCGTTGAAATTTCGGCAGGTTTTAATTTAACGCGGCCATTTTTGTTCAAGCCTTACTGGTACATTTGAACTCTTGAGAAACGTTGTTTATGAATAAAAGCAGCTGCTATATACAACGCAAATTTAGGTACTCGAAAAATTGTGTTATTTTTTTGTTTTTGGACTTCTGAAGGCGACCTTCTGAAAAATGTTGAACAATTTTCCGCAATAACAGGGTAAAATGAATTGCTATGAAAACTTTACAAAAATGGCAGCAACAACGCTAGCAATAATAGTAAATACTGTGATATTTTGTAACTATTTTTTCCCTAATCTTTTTGTATATTTATAATTATTTTCCTTTGGTTCACAAAATGCTAACTAACAATAATATTTTGGGGTATATGACCAGAAACTTTCCTCATAAACTGAACCGGATCGCAAACTCCTTTTCTGTGCCATATACCACACATTTTTGCTAGGCGCCAACATGTCCTATCACCCAAGGCCACAAGAAGGCTATTACAATGCCGGAGAAGATTCCAGTAATTAAAGCCGCTGCCGAAAACATGCCAGCTGTGGGGGCGTACCGGTCTTCCACAGATCTGCGAATAAAAGTTATATAATGCAACAGAACAATTTTATTATATCTTTAAAAGTGACCAAAAATAAAGAAATAAAAAAATCAATACAGTAACAGAATAACCTAAACAACTTTACGTGAAGAGCCAACAAAATATTTAATTATCTTAATCATAACAAACGTAATTAAAAAATAATGGTACTAGTGTAGTAGGACTGTACGATGTCTACGGAGATGAAATTTTTATCAACGAATTCTGCTTCACTTACTGATGATTGTACACTGATTTTTATTCTCTGAAAAACTTTCATTTTTGTGTAAATATCCATTTGAAATATGTCTTATTTTTAAAAGCCACCGCCATTATTTACCATGAAACAACAAGAAATGACAGGATTGACAACAGTTTCCTATGGTCAAGAAGGTAATTCTAACCAGTGTTGCCATAGATAGGTCCATGGTTATACACAATATGTTTTCTTATAATTTTTGGTTAAATATTTTAATATTTTATTCTTACTATAATAACTAATTATTGCTTTAGATTTATTGGTTAGCAAAATTCCAACAAAGAAATTATTAAAATTTGAGGTTATTTTCACTTTTGCGGTAGGTCCACAAAAATTGGACATTTTTGTGATTTTACTATTACCTTTTGTAAAAATACGTAATTATGTTTAAAGTAATCAAGATTTTTAACAATTCAAAACAATATAGCTGATATGCATATAAAGTAAAATCTTATGTACATTCGACACTGTTGCCTGTTTTAACTTTTAAGAAGAGCTACAAATTTTATTTGAAACATGTAATCTAATCTTACTTAACTAAACCAGACCTAACCTAACGAAACTTAACAAATCTAACCAAACCTAACCTAAACTAAACTACACCTGCTATCAAAGTAGTAATTTTATGTTAGAAGTAGTTAAGAATAAAATGTTAAAATATTTAACCAAACATCGTTAATTTTGTTTTTTCATAAGAAAACCTATTTTGTATAACTATGGCAACACTGGTTACAACTACCCTACTTGACCACATGAAACGATTGTCATTAGTGTCATTTCTTGTTGTTTCATGGTATATAATGGCGATACGTCATTGACTATTAAAAATAAGATATTTTAAATAGAACTTACATAAAAATATGATTGATCTGACATTATATTATATTTATTATGACAGACAAATAATAAAATAAACAATCGAACAACATATGTAAATCAATTGTTAACATATGTAATCAATTAATTCAAAAAATGGAAATAATTATTTAGGTCTAAATTTTGATATTATTTTGAATTCCTGCATTTTATAAAAAGTATATAAATAAGTTTTTATTTAAAATAGGGTTGTTATTATTTTTATTATTATTAAGAAATAAAACAATTCAACTTAACAATATATAAAAGCAACAATTGTAACCAAATAAAAGATAACTGGGCAATATCAGAGGCAGCAAAACAAAAGAAGAACCACAGTTTTTCTATTAGTAAAAAATGGAGAGAACAAGAAACTCTCGAAAGAAAGCGAGTGTCTGGACGACCAAAACTATACTAAATCTAGGTATGTAAAAATAAAATTATTATTATGTTGTTATATCTCCCATCAGCATTGTAACAGTTTTTTTATATAATTAAAATATTAAATAATTTTGAATTCTTTTACCCCCGTTGCTGATACGCCCATGGTCGTATTCGCAAATAGTTTGTTAAATTTTGGGAACGTACCGACTTCTCAGATTACGATCCTAATCCTTTCCTTTCTAATCCTTTTGATTTGTTAAATATCGCGAAAGCACGTTTATAGTAATTTTCTGTAAAAACCTAATTCAGAAGATTTAATTTTACCCACGTTCCAAATTACTAGTACCGAATTACCTCGAACATTTCGATGTAGTTAGAATCTTATCTTCTTAGAAATACATACAGGCTGACCTGTCGTTTTTGAGTGGGAGATATCCCACCTTTCTTGGGTAGTTTTGTAATTTTTAGAGGAACCACATTACTTGTGGCTGGGCGATCCTTGACTGAGTACGAACATTTAATTCTCAGTTAATCATTAAATAACAGTGCGAACAGATAATCAACCTCACCAAGTGCGGTTTGGTTAATTTTTTATTTCTGTAATCTTTTTGTAATCTTTGAATTTAACTTTAATTAACTTTAGGTTGAGTTTACCGAAAGTACAAGCTGATTATAGCCGCAAATGTCAAACATGGAACAAAAAATTTCGGTAAAGCAATGTTGTCATGTTTTTATAATGTAGCTGCTGTATATTTCAAATAAAAAAGATAAAGGTTTAGAAAAACACATTTTTTAAATATTATGATATGAATTCTCAATTAGAATATTTTTAATCACTATCAGGCTCTCTTTACTGATAATTTAATTTGTGTATGATTTCATTATATTGTATTTGTAAAGGTATTCCTATTATAATACTGTTCATTTCCACATGTATACAACCATTGATCAATTGATGGTGCATTTTTTATTACTTGTGTGTACATTCAGCTGCCTATATCATTGTGGTGTTGAATATATTGTTTTTATTTTATGTATGAATTTTATTTTTTCGACTCCTAATAAGTTTCCTGATATAACAATACCTCTAAATATTTGCTTATTATATCAAATTATTATTGTACCTTCGACCAGAAGAAAGATCAGGCTGATTAAGTTTCGTGGGTAAGTAGGTGGATGGAGTCCACCTAATATAGTTATTATTGGTTTATGTAGAATGTTGACCAAATTTATTTAATCATTAAACTGTTGATATCTTCCCGTCAATTTGGTCTCAGAGCCTAAATATCTTTCCTTATCTCGTTTCTTTTCTAAGGTTTCTTAATTTTCTCCTTAAACCCCAAAAAGTTACGTGGCGCCCTGTTTCTATCTTATCTTATCTTTGGTAATTTTACCCATCTCTTTTTCTTTTTGTTTATTTCTGTATCTTTTCTAATATATCTTATCCTGTCCTATATTTACTTATTTCGTCCGTTGAACCCATTCTCGGTTCCAAAAGCTAGTTCTGAACCCACGACTCGCTCTCCACCAACCATCTGGCTGCCGTCCGCAGTGTCTCCATTGGTGACCTTTCTAGCACCATCCAAAAAAGGTTTCCGAGGTTACAGCATTGATAACAGTTTGTAGTCTTCAGTCCATCCGCGTAAAAGGAACTATGAAATTGTCTTCTTTAGAGAGCTCTTCCCAAACCTGTTGTATACCTTGCCACAACTCTTCAGCATTTTGAGGTATAAAATTACGCCGCTACAACCATTTTATAATAACCTCCCAAACATTCTCGATTAAGTTTAAATCTGGACTGTAGCTGGACCATGGTAAGGTTTCGATGTTGTTATTCTAGAGCCACTGGTTTATTATATTTGCAGTGTGAACGGGACAATTATCTTGTTGGAGGATAAAATTATTTTCTGGATACAACTGTTATAGACTGGGAAACATGATGTTTTCTAGAATCTTCAGATAAATCTGCCCAACAAACCTGCTGTCAATACGGGATACCATTCCCATTCCTCTAGATGAAATCCATCCATATACATTGGCGCTAAAATGACCAGCTGCTCGATATCTATCAACATATAGAGGATTAAATCTATTATTATCTGGTCTATATACCCCAATTTTGCCCTTTTTAGAAGATTGAAACATTTTCTCACCTGTAAATATTACCCAGTCCCAAAAATCTTGATTTTGTAGATAATGGTTTTAAAGCAAATATAAGTCTTGATTGCTTCTGTTGTGGCGTAAGAGCTTGTGTTTTTTGTTGTTACGGTTTGGTACCTAAGACTACTTCTGCGCCAAGTTGTTGTCTTCAAGGAAACTAATCCCGGTGACAGAATTCTTGCAGTTTTCGCATCTTCAAAGGATTCTCTTCTAATATCTCCAAAAGCGTACGACCTTCATGAGCGGAAGATATTTTTGGTCTTCCAGAACCTTGCTTTCTTTCGAGAGTTTCTTGTTTTCTAGCATCTTTTATTCATATTAAAAACTATCGTTCTGCTTACGTTATGCTATACTAAATGGTTCGCTTCGGCAGATAGTGACCAACCATCTCCCAATTTCGTTACAATTCTTGGTTTTAGTTCTTTGCTAGCATGTGGAGCCATTTTTTGAGGTTGAACAGAATAATTTATCTGACAAATTTTAAGACTTTTCAGTGACAGTAACAGTATGTAAATAATAAGTATTGATCCTTCAAAATACACTGCTCACTTCTACAAAATATGCTTTAAGAGTCGTTTCATCTGCGAATGATACGACTTAAGCGAACCAGAATCCATTGATATAAATTATATATCTGTAGACATCGTAACCTCTTATTAGTGTACCTTATTGTGTCAATTCAACTGTAGGTTACGTTATTTGTTATTATTGATTTAAATCAAAAAATACCCCATTTAAATGTTGTATTTTAAATTTATTCGAGATCATTATACTCATTCAGCGAAGCGACAACTATTTTCATCACTAATTGAACATTACATATATCAAACTGAGATAAATTTTGTAAATTGTAGTACAATAATAGAATAGCTAGGTTAACTGGGCCACAGAACAAAAACATTGACACATGATTGGGACGCTTGACAGAAAACTAAACTGGCAACAATGCAAAGGTAAAGAAGGAAGAATCATTAAGAAATGCAAAGAATAGTAAAATAGACATATAGTCTATAAGAGCCTGTACTGAATATAAAAAGTGTGACGGATGATAGTAGTATTAGAAAGAACTTGTAATATAGTAATATTAGAAAGAAATAGGTAACTGAATGAAGGCTGTGAGAAGAACCATACCTAAATTCGCCCACATTGCATAGGCAATACAACCGATGCTAAAAATAATTCAAAATTCGATAAAAATTAAATATTTATTGATCCACACACACAAAATTATTGGAATATTGTACTTGGCAACACTGGTTCACTCTGGTTATCAACTGTCAATTGTAATCCTATTTTTAGAATATAGCATATGTTAAGTTTTAGTTCTTCTGTAGAATAAAGTATTTAAATAATTCACTGCTAACTCTTAATTACCATAACTGAAGAACAACAAATTCTAACAAAAATATCATTTTTTACTTACCTTGGGGCATACATCATGCCTAAGGAACTCAAATACCCGCTCGACAAGGCCATCGAGGCGCTTAACAAAAAGTACACGTAGTCATTATTGATCAGTTTTGGTAAAACTCTATGGATTCCCTTCACTTGGTAATTACATAACAAAAACAAAGGTATGTACACGATTCTGGCCGTTACTGGAATCCACAAAAATTTGGGACTAGGCTAAAAACAAATTAAAATCAATAAAAACTGATTATGTTATTTTGTTCGAATCGAATTTGAAATTATTGCTTTAAAAGTGTTACCAACATTAACTTATAAAAATATAACTAATAAAAAGTGGAATCAGTTATGTTATTAGTGATTCTACATAATATGAAATATTGCATACATCTGGATTAACTTAATAACGTTCTGTTTTTTGATGATTTATGATACAATAGTGAAAACACGTATTCCATTAAAGTCTCTTTATTAATACACGAATACAAGAGTATGATTGATTACTTACCCATACAAAAAACGCAGGCAAACAACTACCTATCATTGCAAATATGTTGAAGGTCATAAAGCACATCAGATTCACATAAATGTAATCGGGAACAAAGAAGTTATCATCGCTTTTTAGAATTCCTAAAAGGACAAAAAAAATTCAAGTCAGTATTGTTTTAAGCCAGTGATCTTTTTGGTAAGTTAACTCCGGGTTAGGTTACACGAAGTACATTATCAATATTTAGGATATAAGAAGGAAGGAGTTTGACACAAGAGATGTACCAGGTGATACGAGAGATATGGATAGAAGAAATCCCCCAACAATGGAAGAAAAGTATAATCTGCCCTATTCATAAAAAAGGAGACAAACTGTTGTGTCAGAGTTACAGAGACATCTCTTTACTTTTTTTCGGGATACAAAATACTCACAAACATCATTAATCGAAGACTTCAACCTCTCATGAAAAAAATCATCGGGGAATATCAAGCAGGGTTTAGGCAAAATAGTTTACAATTTCTTTATAGATCTCAAACAAGCCTATGATTCAATAGATAGAACAATTCTACCTAATATATTGGAAGAATTTGGCATACCATCAAAATTAATACGACTAGTACAAATGACAATGACAGAAACAGAAGCACAGGTATGTATTCAAGGACAGATTACTGATAACGTTTACGATAACGCATGGACTGAAACGCATTGTTCTTGAATATGTAATTAGATGGTTGACGGTGAGAGGAAATAACATGCAAACAAATCTACCCAATTAGCAGCATACGCAGATGATATAAACATAATGAGCAGAACAGTAATTGCAGCGGCAGAAATCTACGTTGAGTTAAAACAGAGTGCAGAAGCAGTAGGGGTAGCAATAAATACAAATAAAACAAAACTACACATACAAACCAGATCAAATAGACCACTTTATTGGCGATATAGAACATGTGAAGAGCAGCAAACAAGCAATGAAGATGAACCGGAAATAAATAGAAGGCTTGTGCTGGCAAATAAAGCCTATTTGCGATGGGCCACATATTCAAATCACGAGACGTACAATAGAATCCCCAGAAAATGACTACATGCAAGAATGCACGGAAAAAGATGTGTTGGAAGACCTAAAAAGAGATGGGAAGACGAAGTCGATGAAGATGCCAGGAACTGCCTGGGAATGCGTTCATGGAAAAGAACAGCGGTAAATGGAAATGATTGGAGAAGCTTGTTGAAGGAGGCCAAGGCCCGATTTGGGCTGTAGTGCCATTGGATGGATGGATGGAATGAAAAACCAACAGTTTATACAGTTGATCAAATTGTATTAAGTTATGGACATCAAGTACTACGGTTACCGCCGTATTACTGCCACTTTAATGCCATCGAACACATCTGGGGCATATGTAAAAGGTACTATGATAATCACGTTGGATGCAGTGGATACAGGTGACGATGCAGTTAGGGAAATGTGGCAAGAAGCTCTTAAAACTGCAACTCCAGAACTATGGGCTAAAACCGTAAATAAATGTGAAAAATTAATAGAAGAGTGGTGGATCCGGATAAATGTATGCTACTAGAAACTAATTTTGATTGAACGAAAAGTATTTGATATATTAGCGAAACATAGGCGTCCCGTCTATTTTTTAAGAGGTGTGATTATTAAAATATTTTATCCACTTCATATGTTTAGTTCTGTATCACCTTTTACGTGGATCAATCGAATGACGAAGACACTTCGATCTTTCGCTAGGAATTTTAGTTTTCACGGTATTTATTAGTTCACCTTTTTTATTGTCCACAGAGAGTAGCAAAATCACAGTAAAAAGTAAATGACAAATGTGACATTCTAAGGCGTTTAAAATGAACCGTTCTATAAGAACTTCGTATAAAGTTAAATTTTTTAGAATCAATGCGGTGAGTTATTGCCTTACCTGATTGAACAGCAGGGAATATAGCGATAGTTACGAAAAATACCAACCACACGTTCAGTAATTGTGGAAAAGACTGTTTGAAAATTTTCAAATACGGAGGCTTTTGGACTGCTCCACTAGGCATCGGCGCCAAACGCCTCTCTTTTTTGTCCTTCAGATCGTAGTACCTGTAGAATCTCTAAAAAATACAAAAAAAAATTGGTGAGTATAAAAACGAGTCAACAGTTACAAAAGGTCTGTTGTTCAGTATTGTATGTAGATTGTACTACAGTTTTAGTCAAAAGTCCGTTCCCCCTGGTATCTTTTGAACGGTTATTGTTATATTAGTGAAATTCGGAGGGAAGGTAATAAACAGACGTAGGCTTCTCAACTGGGGTTCAAAGGAGTAGTGATGTGCAATACAAGGTGTTGCTTCCTGATAACACCTCTAGCCACTCCTACTCAATTCCTATCCTCACCTCCAAGAAGTGTGGCTTAATCGCACGGGTGAATCCCGGCAAACCTGAGCAACTTTACCGGAGATTGGGTAACCAACCCCAGTGGAAAGTAGGGTCAGGGCTGACGAGGAAGGGAGAAATGGTCCTCCGAAAAGGGGTTTGGGCGATAGGCCAGTAACCTATTCTTGTAAAAAAAGTATTACTATGAAACATTCAGATAGGCCTCGGAATGGACGGATATCAAGACGACGACTTTGGAACCGGAATATGGAATTTATGCTGGGAACTTGCTGGCACAATTCAGGAGCACAGAAGATCTTTCTACATGAATTGAAAAGATATAAAATAGGAATCACTGCAGTACAAGAAACTATATGGTTGAGAAAAGGTATCCGGGACACTAAAACACACACTATACTGTATAGCGGTAAAGATGAAGGAAATAAAGAATTTGGAGTAGCCTTTATCGTAAATAATAAAATGAATTACCTGATAACAGACTTTCAAGTCATCAATGAAAGAATCTGCAAGCTTAGGATAAAAACGCGTTTCTTTAACATAACCCTTATAAATGTACACTGTCCCACAAATGAACAGGAAGAAGACACTAAGGTAGCCTTTTATCAAGATCTAGAACAAATCTATGACTCGTCCAAACGGCAATCCACATACAAAAAGGACATAAAGCCCCGGGAATAGATAAAATACCGGCAGAACTAATCAAGCAAGGGGGAAGAAATTTGACAAAACAGATGTGCCAGCTAATACGAGAGATATGGATAGAAGAAGAAATCCCCCAACAACGGAAGAAAAGTATAATCTACCCTACTCATAAAAAAGGAGACAAACTGTTGTGTCAAAATTATAGAGGCATCTCTTTACTTTGTTCGGGATACAAAATACTTACAAACATCATAAATCGAAGACTTCAACCCCTCACGGAAAAAATCATCGGGGAATATCAAGCAGGGTTTAGGCAAAAAATTAATATGACTAGTGCAAAGGACAATGACAGAAACGAAGGAGGCGAACTGGCTCCAACACTCTTGAGCGGTGTTGGCGATGAGTGGAAATAATATACTTACAAACAAATCTACCCAGTTAACAGCATACGCAGATGATATAAACATAATGAACAGAACAGTAGATGCAGCGGAAGAAACCTACGTTGAGTTGAAACAGAGTGCAGAAGCAGTAGAGGGTTCATCAGTGACAGATAATTTTAAATGGGACCTTATGGCAAGTGATACCTCGTTTAAAAGGTATTGAAAATACATTTTTGGCTGAGGTTTTAATATTTATTAATTAAATGCTAAACTACAATTTTAATATTTATTTAATTTATTCATCAAAATGAGTTTAAACTCTAATAAAATTAGTTTGGGTGAATAGGTATTTTCAATACCTTTCCAACGAGGTATCACTTGCCATAAGGTCCTATTTAAAATTATCTATCACAGTGGCGCTGTAACGTCATCAGTCACTATTACGTCACCTGTTATGACTAGTTGAGAAGCCTACGTCTGTTTATTACCTCCCTCCAAATTTCACTAATACAGATAGTGCAAGCCATCGAGCAAAAAGACAAAAGAGGGAATGTAAAGGTAGTGGGGGCAAAAATATTGTTAGACAGGAAGTGCGATCTTTAGAGGCCACATTAAACAAGGAAAGAGAGTCTCTCTCCTTGTTTGACATCAAATTTAGTTGGGTTATGTTATTGTTTGTCCCAAATGTCACATGAAATCTTATTTTATATTGAAGTTTTTTAACAATTGTGTCGCATTTTAGACTATTATCGTTATTAATTAATTAAAACTTTCTCGTCTAAGACACATTTTGAAAAATATTAAATAGCTACTGTTAATAAGTGTCGGAAAATTTAAATTTGGCGCATTCGCATTTCCGGATATGACCGCCATTAGAGGCCACTTTTTTGGTCTCCTTTTTATAAGGATTAGATTTTCTCTTTTGTCTTTCTGCTCGATGGTGAAAGCACTCCTGACCACGGCGCAGTAGACGAAATTAGTTTAGTCCCCACTTCCATGCGAAACTGCATAATTCCACTGCACTGTATAATTCCACTTACAATAGAACCTTTCTATCTTTACGTGAATTTTGACTCCGCCGTCGCGCAGCTCCATGGTCAGAAGTGTTTGTATTATCTTTAACAATAATGTCACCAAGGTAACCAACCACGACAAAGATTGTTACCTTGGTCGGCCAATCACGGAGCCATTAAGAACTTCGGAGCACGAGAACCGGCGTGTTGACTGCGAACGCTTCCTGCCAGTAAGACACGATCTTTTTGGAATAGAAAAGACAGTGGTCTTAGAACTATTCTAAATTGTGTCGAACTGTCCACAGCGTTCTTTGGGACAACGACGGCAAAGAGCAAATAAAAGGCCCGACGGGGACTTGTAATTGCTTTTCCGATCAGAGTCGAGCTGCGACAACGCTTCCGTCACCTGAAGCCTTATGCAAATAGTAACCATCGAAAATACTGTTTGTGAAAGGTGGTGTACAAACGTGACGAGCAGCAAGCAGAGTCGACACAACCGGCTTTCTTGTGCCTCTCTCAACGAGAGAGAACGCGGCTACACGAAGCGAGAAGGCCGGCATCTCTGTGGGACTTGAGACATACACTATGTAACAGAATTTTAACACACATATTAAGTCATTGTAAGAATAAGTCTGAAAGAAAGCTCGAACTGATAAAGAATTCTGATTGCCGGTGTCCCCTCACCTACCGCAGAGGCTCGGCAAAGCTTCTAACACGTAGAGGGCGGAATCCTGATAACTCCTGAAACGAAGATGGACTCTCGAAACTTGAGGTCCTCTTCGAGAGCGGCAGTCGTTGAGCGTCCAGAGACCCCTGAAAACCAGGAGAACGGTACGACCGTACGACAATAACCGTTCAAAAGATACGAGGGGTAGAACGAACTTTTGACTAGCAGCGTATAATAACGAAACAAGGATACTTACGTTAAGTGGTAGAGCGAAATAAGTGTCGAAACATATCAAGAGCACAAAAAGCGCAGATATAAAATAATAGATGGCAGCCATTTTAATGCTCGGCGTGCTAAGTTTAGAGACGAGATTGACGGTAGCCGTAAACGTGCCGCTAACGTTATTTCCTAATATCACAGCCGCTGTATATTTTCCAGGCAATTTCGCCGCCATACCATAAACAGTATTCTGGTAGACTCCGTTAGCACCTAAAATATACAAACTATAGAAAATATATCAATTACCCGCACGTCAATACTTACAATTCAAAATGACAACAAGGAATAACGTCGAATAAAAGAAGACATACGGTATTTCACTGGTGTTGATCATTCCCAACAGTATGGTAACAATGAAGACTACGATCTCTATACCGATACCCCAAACTATCCTTGTGGTTAGGTTTCCGCCGATTTGTATGAATATATTTGTATAGTTCAGTATTATGGAAGGTATTTGGGCACAAAACGTTAAATACTGCATAAAAGTCGGTATATATGGGAAGTCGTAGTGTATATACGAAGCAGATAACTTGTAATCCGTGAAATACTGAAAGATAAACATTATTATTATGTAAATAAAGATTTTTTTTATATTAAAGTTCAAGATCAAGTCTTTACCAGTCGAAAAAAAAAAATAATTTTTGTACTTTCCTTGCATATAAAAATTTGCTATAAAATATACAAAATTATCGGTTTAAATAAATTCTCATTCAAGCTTGGTCGTAAGTTTTCTGTTAAGAAATCTTTCGCTATGACTATCAATAACAGATCAGACTCAAAGTCAAACATTGCCGCGCATTGAAATTTATTTGCAAATTCTGTTTTTGGACATAAACAATATTTGTGTCATCTGCAGTTGGACCATTTGGCCTAGAAAACCGGAACGATCAGGGAGATACGTTGGAGATTTTTGCGGAAGCAAATCAATTGGTAATAATGAACACCTGGTTTAAGCTACACCCAACGAAACTGTACACCAGGAAATCTCCACAGGACTCTTAGCCTAGGCGGGATCTGTTTTGGATTGGACATTTTCCATAGGAAGCTATTTTTTTGCTGGAATCACTTATGGTTACACGGCAAATGTATGCCAACTTTGACCTTCAATATCTCGGCAACCAGTAAGCCGAATATATCTTTTTTTTTTAAAGAAGCGTCTTTTAATGTTCTTTAAGTGTATACATTTTGAAATTGATATGTTTAAAGCTCGTAAAGTTATTCAATTTGTTTATAAGCCTAAAAAATGTTTAAAACTTTTAAAAAATTTCTAGGCTCTCCTAGTGAACCGATTTGAATTTTACAAAAAGCGTTGGAAAGTTTGAACCTTCCTTTATATGTAAAAAAATGTTCAACGATCCGAGGGCCTTATTTGGGGCCTACTATAAATTTGAAAATTTGCGATTTTTTTCCAGTTCCAAAAAGTTTTTCCAGGAGGAATATGGAGCTTGTAAGACAAGTTAAGAAAGTCGAAAACATTTAAAGGATTAACTTATTTTTTTTTGTACTTTTTTTCCTATTTATTGCTATTTTTGCAACAATAAACATTAAATTTTCCATTTATAGCTAATGAAATATTGTGTAAAATTGAATAACGAAACTTTAACTTCTTATAATTTTTTCTCTAATTTGGATCAATATTTTCCGAATTATAAACGAAAATAGGAGCAAAAAAATGAGAAATTTTCAATTGTTTTCAGGTTTTATTAAATAAAAAATTTAGCACAGGGTTTGCGACTGGCGCATATCGTGATTATCGAAATAGGGCACATCCTGAAGGGATTCCAGTAAAAAAATAGCTTCCTATGAAAAATGTCCAATCCAAAACGGATCCCGCCTAGACTAATTAGGACTTGTGGTCAACAAGGGAAAAAACAAATTTATGTTGGTTTTTAAAAATCCCGGAAATGTCCAACAGAGAATTCAAATTAACAACCATACCTTTGAGCAAGTCAAAGAATTCACATATCTTTCACAGAGGGCACAAGAAGTAGAGGACGCCCACGAATGAGATGGATTGATAATGTGAAAGAAGACCTACAGATTATAAGGGTCGGATGATGGAGGGAAGTTGCCAGGAATCGACAGGGGTGGCGACTTCTTTGTGAGCAGGCCAAGATTCACAACAGATTTTCGAGCAACTTATGATGGTAATGATGAGTTTAAGTTATCTGGAATATCAATAACATGTTTGTAGAGTATTAGAAGACTTATAATTCAAGGAAAAATAGTGGGTAGAAGTGTAGGAAGAAGACGCGTTTCCTTGAAGAACCTGAGAGAGTGGTTTGGTTGCAGCCCAAGGCAATTGTTCAGAGCAGCTGTCTCGAAGGTCAGAATAGCCATGATGATTGTCAACATTCGTCGGGGAGATGGCACTTAAAGAAGAAGAGTAGTAGACATAAGGATTCAAAGATCCAACATCTAAAAGGTGTATAATAACCTATATACAAGAAAATTGACAACACTGCACATTATTATGCTTACTCATAATATGTTAAATAAATAAAACAAATGTTAACTTATATTTACCTCAATAGCTGTAATAAACATATTCCAAGGCATCAATACGCCGATACCGTGGATGACGAATGTGATATAAACTAAATTAAAGCGATCTGGAGGAGCTTCCATGGTTAAATTTTTGAAATTAAGCTCGTCTTCTGGAAGGTTGTTCTCCTCCAAGCTGGATGTAGCTTTACAGGTTGCTGCAGTCGGGCTTTTTCGTTAGGATTGCTCTCCATACCTGCGATAAACACAAAAATATCGTCACTGGTTTTCGTTTCGGTAAATGTGGCAAAGTATACTAGATGTGGAAAGGCACGATAGCACAGATTTTATGACAGAACATTACAGTATAATCCGGTCAACTTAGACATCATTATAGTTGGCAAATAACAAAAATTGCCGGAGTGCCAAATTTTGGTGGAGAGCTAGAGTTTACCATAACAAATAAAGTTTAAAAGTCCCCATCGATTCCATTTTTGCAACGAAAGTTATTCGGGGTTAACAAAATTTGAGATTTTTGGATTTTTCTCGAAACCGGTAAGTTTTATAAAAAAAACTCAAATCAAAGTTGTAGATCTTAACATTCTCTACAAAAGAGTCCTTATTTCATCTGGTAATGGGTTTTTAATTGTTCGATTTTGTCTTCTGATATATTTTTCAGCTTTCCTTTGAATTCTTCTGTTTACTCTCTGCATTACTTGTTCCAACATTTCTTGGTTATATCCAGTAATCCATCTCCTGTTTCCTATATGTCCAAACATTAAATATTCTGGTACTTCATCTGTATTTAAATTATGTGTATTATTTAAAAAAATATTCCACTTGTTTGATATGGTCCTTGCCATCTCAAATGCTGATCCTGGCATAGTATCCTTAAATATTTTATAACTTCTTTAATATACCTTTCTGCAGGATTCGCTTGAGGATGTCTGATACTTGTAAAATCAATGTTGATCCCCTTTTTCTCACAAAATGTCTGAAATTTTTGGTTGTTAAAATATGTAGCGTTATCTATTATACAATTTTTAAATGGTCCTATTTCTTCGAAAGAAAAACTGATTAATATATAATTTCAATGTTTTAACATTTGTTCTTGAGCATGGATATAGTTTAATAAATTTTGTGTATAAATCAACTATCACTAGTATATGCTTATTTCCTGTTGGACTGGGAACTAAATTTGAGATGAAATTTAATTCCTGAGATATCGCGATTTTAAAAGTCACTTTATACATTATACAGGGTGTTTCAAAAAAGGTATCCCCGTCTACATACAGGGCGTTGAAGAAAAAAAAATTACGCATTTTTTACGATTTTGCCGAAACTACTGGCAACATTGTAATGAAATTTTATACGAATATATTTTGGAAGCTGATACATCCCATGAATTTGTTTTTATATCTGATTCTCATAGAGGGCGCTAGTTACACGGATCGTACTAAGTATTAGTCAATATAACTTTTTTAAGAGTATAATTATTAATCAAAATTTCAAGTAAACTTAAACATCTTTCAATTTTACATGAAAAAGATACTCTTGGTAAAACTCGATACTGTGTACCGTTTTCGGAATATTTTGATTTGAAAATTCTGAAGTAATAATTCTGACAAGAAAAGGGCTTAGGCTTTTAGTATATAAGATATCTAGAACTTGACCGGTATTGTTTCCTTAAATTATCCTAAAATTGTCAAAACAGTTAGTGGAGTAGGCCTACAGGGGAAAATACGGTAAAAAAAATGCGCCAAGTACACTACCTCACAGGTATGTATCATGTGACTCTTAGAATCGTGATATCTCAGGAATGGCAACTCTTAGGGAAAAAATAGTACCTAAGGACTATTTTTGTAGAGAATTTTAAGATCTACAACTTCGGTTTAAGGCTTTTTTTTTGATAAAATTTACCGTTTTCTAAAAAAATCTCAAATTGTGACCTTTAACCCCGAATAACTTTTGTTAAATTTATTTGTTATGGTATACCCTAGCTCTCCGCAAAAATTTGGCTCTTTTTGTTATTTCAAATGTCTATATAGACCGGGTTATACCTGCACAATTGTTTATGTATTAATACGAAGATGAAAAATAGAAGAAATATTGTCGAAAAGCAAAGAAACCTTTTAAACAAACAGTTGTAAAAAAGGACATTATGTAGTAGAACAGAATTATCTTCTAAGCACATAATTAGAGCAATGATAAAACTAGCCAATATCTATACATTTAGCTATGCTATCGGGCAACATTTTTATTTTGATAATGATTGTTTATCTACCGCAATCAATAGCTGTAATGAGAGATATCAAGTATTATCTATTAATGTAAAAAACAAAAAATGTGATTTGTTTTTTTACACAATATTTACTCCACTGTTTATATTTTTTACTCAGTTATTCTTTGCGACCTGGTCCTTGAATATTGTATATTCAATATTCTAGTTAAACCGGCTAACCCAACAGAAAAAAAATCAAGATAAAATACTTTGAATGCCAATAAGTTACGAAGAGGTTATCAAATTTAGCAAAAAAATATCAACAATTTTAAACTGACACAGATATTTAGAAAATCATCGTACATACCGTAAATTTGCTGACCAACCACCGAGGTATATTGTTTAATAATAGTCCCGTAGCTTCGTATCAATAAATTTCTTATGGGCATTCTGCCCGCACGCACCATTTAACACTTTTTCTAAGCAGATTGGTAATTGCTAAATGATAGTATTTTGTTCCATATCAAAATTTACATATATTAATATCATAATAAATTACTTAATGTATCTTTAAGATACGAACTTCGTGAAAGTTGACGGTGAAGAGATTCATCGGAAACCAAAACAGATAAAAGTCTGGTAAATAAGCGTCAATCTAATGTACATATTGACTTTACTATAAAATCGCTTTGTTGATAAATTGTAAATATCCAGTGTGGTCAATATGGTACAATGTACAACCCAATTAGGGCGAGCGAACCGCAGAGTTCATTGGCGGTACAGACAATATACTTGTCGATCAAATGTATCTTCTTTTTTTTTAATTTATAACAGACAAGCATAAAAAGAAGAAAGGTCATGCACATTAACAATACAATGTAGGTGTAGAATATAGTTTCTGTTAAAGGCAGTCATTGTGATGGGACAGGTGTATATTTAGGACAAATAAAGATACAAACAAAAATAACGAAAATAAAGAAAATATAAACATCAAACTTGAAAACAGAAGTATAAAAGAAGCTGAAGAAGTATGGACACAAGAACAAAGAAGAACAATGTCAGATTATAACAACTAAATAAAGAAGAAAAGAAAATCCTACGAAGAAAGAAAATATTAATTTTAAGAACAAGAACTAAGTAAAGTGTAATAATGAAAAGACTCTCGTTTTAAAAAAGTTGTTATATTTTAGGTTTTGTATTTTTGAAATAAATAAAAAAGAGCGGGGAAATGCTTGCTGAATTTTTAACGGTATACGAGGTGTGTTCAAAAAATACTCGGAATTGTCGTTTTCTTTTTTTTGAAAAAAATATTTATTTATTTATTCGTCTACATTAATGTTGTCTCCTTCAAAGTAGTCCCCATCAGATATTATGCACTTCTGCCGATGCTTCTGCCAATCCTTGAAACACTCCTTAAACTCGATCTTGGGGATAGCTTTTAGTTTTGTCAGCGATGCGCTTCTATTATTTTGAAACGGCGCCCCATTAAAGTTTTCTTTATTTTTGGAAATAGGAAAAAGTCACATGGAGCCATGTCTGGCGAATATGGAGGATGGGGTATCATAGCAATATTGTTTTTGGCCAAAAAACCACGAACAAGCAATGAAATGTGAGCTGGTGCATTATCATGATGAAAAAGCCATGAGTTGTTTTTTCAAAGAAACGGTCTTGTAGGTAGTACTCTTTATTGACCGGTTGACCTCGTGGCGAAAATTCATAGTGCACTATGTCATTAAAATCAAAGAGCACAGTGAGCATAACTTATCGAGCCTTATTTGGTCTTAGCAAACCAGAATGCCTCCACGAACACGATTGAACCTTAGTTTCGACGTCATATCCATAAACCCTTATTTCGTTCCCTGTTATAACGCTTTTAAGTTAGAGTTTGACGCTTAACTATTTGACTTGAAATAGGAATAAAATTGTTGTTTGATAACCTTTTCAACCATTTTCAATCATCTTTTTTGTAGATCGGTAGTAGGTATTGTAGGTATCGTCTATCGTAGGATCGTAGGTTTTGTAGATCGGTAGTAGGTACCTACTTTTGAGTATTTTAGTACTTATGGAAATACTTCAGTTGATAGAAAGAATTAATATGATAAGTAAAAGGTGCTAAAACTATTTGGTAAGTTTCTTTTAAAATTTTACTATTAATTTCGTGAACGTCTCTACAATTAGAATTACTAAGACACTTTATTATTTGAGAAACCTCGTCTTCCACAACGGGACGAAAAAAAGGACTTGCTCGGAGAAGGAAAATTTCTATAACTGAAGAGGACATCGACATTAATAGTGTAAAGAGATATTCTCTGCAATTGTAGTAAAAAATTGATTTATTTCGTCTGAAGGTAGATCAGGTTGTACCGAACTGTATTTTGTATTGTTTCTTTCGAAATTTACTATTTTCCAGCAGTCTCTAGGTTTATTATTGAAATTAGTAATAAAATTACAGTAAGCTGACTTTCTAGTAATTTATAATTTCCGATTATATTCAAATTTTTGTTGTTTATATATACTTTGAACAAATCGGGATCCTTAGTGGCATCTGCAATGTGTTTAAATAAGAGAAATAATTCTGGATCATCGTTTACATCATTTAGTGACTCCTGCGCAAATTCTATTCGCCGCTGTTTTTGTTCAAAATTCAACAATATTGGAACAAATTTTGCTGACTCACGTTTCATATCCAAAACGTCAAAACGAAAAAATGTCCTAGCATGAGCCAATTGATATTCCAACTTCATCAGCGACTTGTCTGATTGTGATTCGGCAATCGTTCATAACCATTTCTGTCACTTTTTTTACGTTTTTAACTGTTATTGATGTGCTGGGGCATTCATCATCTTCAACGTCTTCACGACCATCTTGGAAACGCTTATATCACTCATAAACACTTGTTTGTTTCATAGCATGTTTACCATAGGCCTTTGTTAACATTTTACACACTTTATTTAATTTTTTACGCAAAATTTACTACAAATTCTATTTGATCCATTTGTTTTAATCACTGAAAATCGTCGAGCTCAAAAAAATCGTCGAACCTTAGCCGCTGCCACAGACAATGTAAACAACAAATATAGCTGCATTTTTTTTTTATAATTTAGGAGCATGTATACCAACATAATAAAAAAAATTGACGACTGGACTCTCCAAACCCGCGAAATTTAAAAGTTCCGGGTATTTTTTGAACACACCTCGTACTTACGTTAACTTTAGATTTAACTCTGTTTTTATAAATTTGTTTTAGTATCAATAATTTTATAAAAAGTACTATAATGCATTTACAAATCGAGTATTTTATTATTATCGATACGTTTACTAGGAGGGTTATCCAGTTTTCAGAAAATACTCCATCGTAAATACATTACTTATTTTTTTGCACATAAAATTAAACTTACCTTGAAGTTGGTAGGTGTTGGTTCCATTATTCTCATTATAGTGGACTCCTCTGGACCGATTCATCTTTACTGTGCAATAAAATCCTATCTTTCCAAAGGTTTTCAAACTAAATCATATTTTCTAATTCAAAGATACCTGCAACAAAAAATATGAATTTTCAAAATAACCAATGACAAACATACTATAAAATTACAATTTAACTGTTTTTTCATGTAATCACATGTAAGGAATTTATGCATCCTTAATGAGTGTCATATGTTGAGCAATTATTATCTTTAACTATTCTTCATCAATTATCTGTATACGTATATATTATTAGTGTAGGGACAAAGGAGGGTTTCGTAGCCGATTAAGGTCCATGATATTTCACAACTGATTTTTATATATTTTGACCCACTAAATCCGAATCTTTAAAATAGATACTCCGAATTTTTGGGCAGGAATTTGATATTTTTATTTTAAATATTTAAATGCTTATAACTAACTAGTGATTTTGCCCGTCACCATGCGACGGAGGATCCAATAAATTGCATCTCCAACCACTCCTTAATATTTTCTGTCTTCCTCCTACCGTTCCTTGCGTTTCTGGGCATACCTAAGTTCCAATGTAAAAGTTTATATCAAATAACGCAAAAACTATGGCAGATATTGAGATAATTCTTTTTTTATATGGAAGGTCTTAAAAAGTTCTAGTGCACTATTTAGTTGTAAATTAATAAATTGTTTAAACAATATTTTTTTTTCAAATATTTTTGGTTAAAATAAACGTAAAAATTTTTTTTTTGAAATAGGGCACTACAGAATTTGACCCACTTTCCCAATCTGTTTTTATTTTTAACATAAAGTGTAACACAAAGCAGCTATTTGGTATAAACTTTTTTTAAAATCTCAAATTTTGCTAAATGTAACTTTCTCTCTCGGCCAGTACAGGCTGTCCTTGTCGATAGTTTCTGGATTCTCGTCGACACGGTTAGGTTTGTTAGGTAAGAAGTATAATACCCTCTCGAAGGTGGGTCATAAATAATGTTGAATAACATTATTAGGGTTTATTTCGACTTTTGACAAACCAGTGTGTTAATTGTTTTTAAAATGGGTAGTTCACGAAGAAGTTTATGTTCCGATTGAGGAGATTTTATATAAATAAGCAGTACCTATAATAAGTACCTATAATTTGATTAAATTTTTATATGAATAGAAATATTTTCTGTTAATTTGTAACATTTTCCTTCTAAATGTTTATACTGTTTTTATAATAATACTATTGTTTCAGTATTTGCTTATATAATAATTTATTATGTAGAAACAGCGTAGAATTTTGGTCAATCAGCCAGTACATTTTTTTGTATTTCAATCAGAATTATTATTTTCTTTTCTTTTTTACATAAAAGCTTAGAGTAATACTCAAATATTTTGCAGTATTTGAATACGGAATTTGATTATTTATATTTATTGGACAATACCCAAATATTTTGCTGTATTTGAATATGGAATTTGATTATTTATATTTATAGGAATATTTATTTTCAACGTTTTTGTTAGTAAAGTTTACATAATATATGAAGTTTGTTTCTTCACTTGCTTGTCCAGCCATATTAGTCCAGGCTAATAAGGATTTTCTCGTGACACTCAATAATCCAGGTAGCTGACAACTTTTTTAGTTATTGTAGACCTATAAGAAGAAAACCTACCTGTTTCCTGCGTAAAGTTCGGAGCCGTTTTTTAATGATTAACAATTAATGCAAAAAACGCGATTCTTTCGATTTTTGCACTCTATTATTTATTTATTTATTTTTACGCACAATAGGCCGTTAAGGCCTAAAGCATTTTTTTTACAACATAATTCTAATATTAACTAATTACAATTATTTTAAACAAAACTTTAACGTAAATATGTATATATAACATTCTTAACTACTCTGAAGGACCTGGTGTACAATATTTTTCCATTCGCTTCTATTTTGTGCTTTTTTTTCCATTCCCTCACCTTCACGTGTTTAAGGTCTTCCTCCGCTTTACTAATCCACCTCGTTCTGGGTCTACCTCTTCTTTTGGGATCGATTAATTTTCTGGTTATTACTAGTTTAGGAATTCTGTTTGCTGCCATTCTTTCCACATGTCCCAACCATCTAATTCTTTGTGCCTTGACGAACTTGGTAATAGTAGGTTCTTTGTATAAAGCCATTAATTCATTGTTGGTTATTCTTTCCCAACCATCTTCTGCCTTTCATCCTCTGAATATGCATCTCAATATTTTCCTTTCCCATCTTTCCAGAGTATCCTCTTCCTTCTTATTTAATGTCCAGGCTCACCGGCATATGTTACTGTGGGTCGAATTACTGTTTTATATATTCTGAGTTTACCTTGTCTAGAAACGTATTTTGAGTTCAGTAGGGCTCTTAAATCACCTAATTTTTTATTCCCTTTTGCTATTCTGGCTACGAGCTCCCATTTATCTTTTCCATTTTCATCGAAAACTACACCTAGGTATTCAAATTTGTCCACCCTTTTAAAACTATAGCTTTTACCACTTACTGACCTCATACTAAAGTCTTCTTTTTTCCCTTCTGTTCCTTCTATGATCATATATTTAGTTTTGTCTTCATTTAGTTCCCATCCAAATTTCTGTGCTTCTTCGATGATTTTCTTCACAACTCTTCTTAATTCTTACTCGGTTTTTGCTAGGATCGTTAGATCATCAGCAAATGCCAAGCACTGGTGCTCATTTTTTATGATCTTGCGTGCTTCCATCTTCATGCTGCATTTTCTGATTACAGTTTCTAATACTAATTTGAATAATGTAGTGGATAAAGGATCTCCCAGTCTCAAGCCTTTTGCAACCGTAAATTGATCTGATATGTGACCCTGCCAAGCAGGGTGCTAACAGGTGAAGATGCTAACAGAGTAATGCCTCTATAGTTCTTACAATCCAGTTAATCGTCCTTTTTATGCAACGTATATTATTTCATTTAGCCACTCTTCTGGAACAAATTCATTTTGCCATATAAGTACTATTAGTTTATGGGTTACTGCAAAAAGCTGATCATCACCTTTTTTTATATATTTTCCAACAGATTTAATCGATCCCTGTGGCTTTATTGTCTTTGAGTTTTAGGACGGCATTTGACACTTCTATTATTGTTGGGTGTTCACTGTGTAGTTGTCGATGTAGATTTTGTTGATTGTCTATGTTGTAACCTCTTTCAATATCGTTTATATCATATATATATATATATATATATATATATATAATATATATATATATATATATATATATATATATATGTATATATATAATAATATGATATAATAATAATGTACTTATTCTTCTTCTTCACGTTCCACTCCTATCGGAGATTGGAAATCATTCTGGCAATTATCATTTTGTTGGATATGCGCCTGAATAGTTCAGTTGAATTGCATCCAAACCATTCACGGAGATTACGTAACCACTAGATTTTACGTCTTGATGTGTGATGTATGATGTGCCCCAAGTATTCTAATTTCCTGATTTTTATGGAATTTAAAACTTCGCATTGTTTTCCTAGTTGTTCGAGAACTTGTTCGGTTGTTTTGCGATCCGTGACCAAGCTTGAATCCCATATAAAAGGGTAAAGAAAATATAACATCAAAGCATTCTTATCCGGAGCGATATATTGATATCTCGATTACAAAAAAGTTTTCTCGTTCTATTAAAGTTGACCGTGCAATTCCAATGCGGCATCTTATTTCTTTTGTCTAATCAGTATCTTCTGTGATCCATGCTCCAAGGTATTTGTACAAAGATATTTGTTCAATTTCTGTATTATCTAGTACTAGCTTAACTTTGATGCTTTGTGCTTTTGTAAATACCATGAACTTGGTTTTCTTCAAATTTATTTTTAGTCCAAAAAATGTACCTATAATATGATATAATCCTTATAAAATGTCTTCCGACGTTCATTTTTCATTCAATTCGGTTGTTCCATTGTTCTTTAAGTTCTTTCGAGCTCATTAAGTTTCTTATTCCTTCCATCCGTGTTTTCTAAGGTAATCCTCTCTTCTGGATTACGGTAGGTGTTCATACAGGTACTTGTTTTAGGAGTCTCTTGTCTTTCATTTATTGGACCTGTACCCATTTGAGCTGCTTTCGTTGTATGCCATCCATGACTGTACCTTCTATTCTCATACTTTATTGCATTAAGTTCGACGAGATATCTTTCTTCGATATTAATCTGTCTCTGTTAATCGTCGTGTTTCACAACCGTATAAATAAAGCATGCTTTTTACCACAGTTTCATGGGTTGTAGTACTAGAGAGAGCATGTCAGCTGTGCCAAAACGAAAAATAATCCTCCTTATTGCTTCCACTGGAATAAGCTTGACAATTTAACTGGGCCCGGGCTACCTCTTTCTAATTCTTTAAACTCCTGTTTTGAAATTAATAATTATTTTGTCTAATTACCTATTTAGTTGTCAAAACAGATACATTGTTAACTAAAGAAGTGAAAGTGGTTCAATTTAGAAATTATATAGTAAATAATAAATATTTGAAAACTGATGCACATATTCCTCCCGCGATTTATGCTTCAAGTACTAATTTTATAAATCGCACTTCTACTAATAGACGTAAATTCTTTCATTTTAATTTCATGAATGTTTTTATTCAACATTATTTCAAAACCACACTGAATAGAAGGCCGCCCAGCCTGTATAGACCCAAGACTTTACACAATAGGGGGTTGTATAAGGTAGGTATAAAGCTTACCTCTAGTACAAGATGACGTTTAGAATATTCTTCGTGAATGGATTTTGTTTTTGTAAAGAAAGATATTTTTGAAATAGACATCTCTCTGAATTTTACCGTTACAATTATCGAGGATAAGCCTTAAGGCAAGGACGACAACAGAATAATATTTGAATCTGTTGTAGAACTTTCATAACAAATACGTCACTTTTAGAGAGTCGCTGAACTTTTTGCGTAAAGTACTCTTATGAAATCGAGATACGTATAAAACTAGCGTAATTCTACTTTTGCAATTTACTTTTTGGGAAAGCTCGAGTTTTGTATTATATTTTTTACCGATCACCAAATTCGCAGCCATTTTTTAGGATCAACAAAATTTTCAAAAGGATTGAAAATTAAATTTTTAAAATAAT